TAAGTTCAGAATAACTCATCGTCAGGCTGCTGGTTAATTTCCACCAAAATGTATTAACAGTTCCAAATTTCAATAAGACAGGGATGGACAAATAAAAACAAATTCTCATGTGAGTATGTAAAATACATGATCAACATGTGAGTAGGTAGATAAATGCAAATTCTTCTATGCACACTGATGTAAATCCTCAACACTGGTTAAACATTTCTTTGTTTTCTGTCTTGAATCAATTATTAGTGATTGTTGACGACCTGCAGCTCTAACGTTCTGCTACAAAACACTTTCGTCATGAGACAGAAGAGAGAGTAAACCCCAGAGGACAAACTGCTTCTCTGTGTGTTGCTCCGTGTGTTGATGTGCACTAATGTGACAGGGGAAAGCTGGCATGAGGTGATCTGAGCACAATGGAGGGAAAGGCACCACACTGGGCCTGTTGCTTTGCTCTTTTCCAGGCTCGTGTTGCGGAGACAACAAGCTGAGCGAACGTCAGCTCCGACACGAGCTGCGTCAGGTCTGCAGCAACACGAAAGACCGATTCAAGTCAGAATGAGTTTTTAATGTGTCCTCAGGAGGCCCACAAAACCTGCTGAGCAACATCCACACTGTTTGGTCAGTTTTAATAAACACATGCATATCTCTACTTCTGGAATAGACAAGCTCACGCTGTTACTGGGGTGGAGTTTAACAACCAGTACCTGACATGTTATTTGTTCCTGTGTCTAATTATCCAGCTTAATTTGTTTGGATTTGGGGAACCCTCTTCCAATCAGCATGACAGCATAAAAAGATGAAGGCGACAGAAAAGCCGGAGAAACCGAAGAAGAAAAGAGGCCAAATGGGGTGATTACAAGTGAAAGGTGGCAGCGGGGATGATGGACAGACTGAGGAGAAGAGAGGTGGGGGTACGGTCGTGGTAGTGAAGCAATCTGCATTCAAGGATCCAGTGAATAAACCCCGACTCCACACAGCCACATGCTAATGACGGCCACTATTTAATGTGTCAAATTCACAATTCCCTTCGTTTCGCCCTCATTCTGTCTCTCTCCTGCACTGGGCTAATTGCTCTGTCCGCTCCTTTTTGATAGAGAGGCTGCTGGTGTGAATTAAAGCCCATATTGTGTCGTGCATAGTCGACCTGCGACTCCCGAAAGCAGGCGCACACGCACGTAAATCTGCAAACAGACGCACAGAGTGGGGAACAATCACCAGAACGCCTTCCACATGTCTTTGGCCACATCCACTTTTATGTGCGTGAACTCAAAAGTAACTGTCACTTATTAAAACTACAATGCCACCAAGGTCCAACAGTAGTCCCCTTAAATTCAATCACATTTCACACACAGATATCTGTTTTTTTCATCTCGATCCATTAATTATTTCCTGTGAAATCATAAACATTCATAATGTTAAAGAAAATTATAAATTGTTTTTGGGATCTGTCCCTTTGTTCAGATCTGCACCGAAACCTAACGAGTTCCTTCTTGGCCCATGTCCCATCCTTCCAACAGTTTAGTGGAAGTCCATAGTTTTGACAAACAGCCTTTCTTCATCAAAGTGAAATATGAACATTCACACAGGCTGGTGACTGGTCTGTGAAGTGAGTCAGTCATTTAGAAACACTACCCAAGTGTTAAAAGTTTTTCCACAGTAGCATGAACATGGACCAGGATGCAAATTACAACAGCACAGACTTTTTTTTGTCTTATTGTCCTGCTGCTTTAGCTTTTTACTCACACAGAAGACCCCCTACCACCAGCACTAGAAGAGGCAGCAGCCCCCTGCTGAGTTTATCAAGGTGTTCAAGGAGTGTGTGTGTGTGTGTGTGTGTGTGTGTGTGTGTGTGTGTGTGTGCGTGCGTCAGGGGTTAGTCCGATCAGAGGATGGGTCAGTGCTGTGCTACACTCAGGAAGAGGCCACACTTTCTTGACTTCACACCGAGGCAACTGACCACCTGCCTCCTGATCGCTGGGCAGAACCAAACACACAAAACACAAGAGACTTGAATGGGCTGCAATTTGTTGGGGGGGAGCGTTTTCTAATGACCCTGTTAAATATTTGTGTGTGTGTGTCCTGTTTCGGAGTCACAATAAAAATTAAAAGGTTCTTTCCAAACTCACACCAAATCCCTCCAGGTTTCGGGATCATCTGTCCAGTAGTTTTTTCATAATCCTGCCAACAAATAAATTAAACCAAATCATAACCTCCTTGGCCGAGGCCAGTTCACTGTGTTTATAGCTCGCTGCAAAATTCTGGAGAACTTGGATCCATGAAGGATGAACAGTTTTCCAGAGCAGAGTCCTGATGATTGTTCCAGAGCTACTCAGTGTTGTGTACCAGTTAAACCTGAGCCAAAAACCTGCTTGTGTCATCCATTAAAACTGTGTTAATCTCATAATGAGGCCTTAATGTTGGGTAAATGTAGGGGGGGTAAAATAATTTGGAATCTAGCCGCACAAGACTCTGTGCCAAGTGTCACTCGTTTGGAATGAAACAATGCAACATATAAGATTGTTGCTGCCATTTGAAGCTATAGATTGTATAAGCATGGTAAATATTAAGCGAAAACTCATTTTAAATTATTAAGATAGATAGATAGATAGATAGATAGATTACTTTATTCATCCCCGGAGGGAAATTAAGTTTTTGTTAGAAATGAGTTTTTGTTAAAAACCTCATCGACATGCCCACTCGCTCAAGGGGAATTCTCCAGAGAATCTCCAGCTGTTTTCTCACATCGCTCATACAGAGTTTTAATTAGGGGGCTGAGAAACTCCTGAGAAAGTCTGGAGCCCCTCTGGAAAATGTGAGGAGGTTATCTGGAGTTCAGTGCATGTAACTCTTTAGTGCAGATATTATGCCTTTTATATTCTTAGTCTATTTATTATTTAAGTACATTATGAATATTTGCATTTTTTATTTAATTACTATTCTGAATGTAGTTAATAATTTCCCCTTTGCAAATAATGAATGGCAGCACTGAGGTACCCTCTACTGATAATCTGTCACCAGTGCAAGTGTGTGGTCCTCATGACTCACGTCTGCTCGCCTTCTTGTGTGAGTGTGGGTGCATGTGAAACCAGCATGTACCTCATCTTCCACACATGCCTTTCCCTTTCTCCTGTGTGCTCTTGAGTCCACGCTGCCTCTGTGGCCTAATCCTCTGATCAGCATGCCAGGAGAGCCCAGAGGGGCCTGACTGGACCGTTGGAGGAGAGGGGGCCTGAGGTGACGCCTGCAGGCTTCAGCCACTTTCTCAGATTGTCTTAGCCACTTGTACCGATGCAATGTGGCCTTGGCTTATTGTTGACCACGGGGGTTGAGGTAGAAAACGCAATCCCTCCCCTCCACCCCCTCCTCCAGTCCATCTGCTCCTCATCCGTCCTCCAGAGCTGAGACATGAAAGAGAAACGTTGCAAAAACGTGCAGAAAAAGAAAAATATGTAATTTTTGAATTTTATGTCTGAACAATCGACTAATTCTTCATGAGACTGTATTTGCAAATGAGGGGGAAAAATTACTTCAATGCCACTTTCCATTATGTCCGATGTGTCAGGTTCAAGTTACTTACCAGACAAAGGCCCTGGTGAATGGAGTGACTTGGGAGATTGAGGGGAGTTGCTTGACACACAAACAATTAGCACTCATCCCTGCATAGCTTGCCGTGGCCCCAAATCCCCACATTTGTCCAGACAAATTGACTGGACCCCAGGTCTTGTTTGTCTAGCTCTGCTGGCCGGCTGGAGGGGGCCGGAGGGCAGCGGGGAATGCTCCCTTCAAAGAGCAGAACTCCTGGGAAAAGGACGAATAACATATTCTGGTCAGAAAATTAGCCTTCCAACACTTTTTAAGACACATCTGTGAAACACGTACTCTGTGCTTGTTGAAGCATCTATCAACTGGTAACAATGTGGTTCAGCTGTAAGACCTGAGATCAGAAAAGGTTTTGGATAAAGAGAAAAATGGACTGTTAAACTAAGAGAGGAAAAAGAAGGAACGTCTGGATTAACATGCTGATGGACCTGGGGCTGAAAAGTAGCCTAATGGTAATTGGATCAAACACGGATTGATTTAGTTTGAAAGTAAATTTTAACAGTAATCTTGTGAAATTGCATCTGGGAACCATTGGTCAAATGCAAGTTAAATGTTTCACAAAAGTAATGACTGGTTTATTTTAATTCTTTAAAATGAAGATACCCAGAAACCATGTTTATACTGCTTTGTTTTTGTATTGTTAGACTCATCGCTGCATTAACCCCTCGCACAACTGTTGAATATTTCCAGAGGACGAACATCTTCAGCTGGTTCTATAAGTTCAATGTCACGTATTAACAAATTGTCCACCTCCCAGATTTGACAACTTTTTCATCTTTAAACCCTTTAATACTCAGCGATGAGTAAAATAAATCAAGGACAATTGTGGTGCTGCACTTATTCTGAGGATGTAATAAAAGTTATATTGTTGGACTATACCTAACGAATACTTGATTAAGTAAACTGCTTTTTTCTTTGGTGGAGGAGTTTGAATTAACTGAACCATTTGTACAGATTACTTGTGCAGATGAGGTACAACCTACAAATTGTGGCACTACACTATTGGCTTTTACCCGTTAATTAAATTAAGGCAGAAAAAGTAATTTCCAAACATTTTGATGTCTTTTTCTGCTGTCTCCTATTTAGAAATATAAGCAACACATCTTATGAGGATTAACAATATGCAAAGTTATTTATTTTTGAGAGTCAATATTTGAGTAATTCTAAAGTTGTGTGTTGCAATTTCAGCATGTGCCTATATCCACCTTTAGAAACATTTCCCATCAGTGCTTACATCAGACTGCCATCTAGTGGTTACTTTGTAAACATGTGGTGAGCCCAATATCTGATGCTGGCCACTAAGGCCTCACTATTAATGAGTTATACATTTTGTCTACACAATTACTACTGATTAAAAATTACATCAAAATGAGGAACTCTTGTTATGAAGGGAAAAATGGGAACTCAGACTGAGTAATGCAATGATGTTTATTTTTAAGAAAAGTTTGTGGAGGAGGGACTTCTGGTCTAGCCGCCATTTGCCATGGTGGTGGAACCGGCTGGCGTGGTGGTGTAGCTGCCCGCATGTGTCGTAGTCCAACCTTCCGGTGTTGTGGTGAAGCCCCCGAGTGTGGTGGAGCCCACTGGCATAGTAGTCGAACCTTCTGGCGTCGTGGTGGAGCCTGCTGGTGTGGTGGTCACTGGGGCAGACGTGGTGGTGGTCGTCGACGACGCTGGGGCAGGCGTGGTGGCTGTGGTCGCCGGGGCAGGCGTGGTGGCTGTGGTCGCCGGGGCAGGCGTGGTGGCTGTGGTCGCCGGGGCAGGCGTGGTGGGTGTTGTCACTGGGGCAGGCGTGGTGGGTGTTGTCACTGGGGCAGGCGTAGTGGTGGCCGTGGTCGCCGGGGCAAGCGTGGTGGCTGTGGTCACCGGGACAGACGTGGTGGTCGTTGTCGCCGGGGCAGGCGTGGTGGCTG